GAAATATTATTAGGATGTCCTCCACAGACCATCATCCTTCTTGCATGAAGTGTGATGACAGAAAGAGTGGTGCTAGCACCCTCCTCTATTAGGATGCTTAGTTTGTTCTAAATAATGCCAGGGTAAGGCCAGGAAGTTGCATAGTAAGGATGGGTAGCTGTAAAATAACAACTGTGTGCCAGTTAATTCTGACTTATGGTGACCCTTCTGAGGGTGTCCAAGGTAGAGAATATTCAGAAGTGGTTTCCCCTTCCCTTCCTCCAGGGGGTGCTCTGGGACTGTGCAGCTTGCCCAAGGCTACACAGGCTGGCTCTATTTCCAGGAGGCACAGGGGGAATCGAACTCCCAGCCTTTATAGGTAAACTACAAATCTGCTGATCACATCTTGGCAGTTGGGTTGAGCTGAATTGGAAAAGGTCCAAAGGATAATTCAGTTCACCCATCTACCAATGCAGGAGATCCAGAACGATAAAATCATTGAGATGTCGACACTCAGTCTTTGATTAAAGACTTGTGACGTCAATGGCTTTACAGACCCGACAGCCCGACACCCCGTTTCTATTTTCTTCTTCTACTACTTGTTTTGATGCCCAAACGACCAGTTCTAAAACTGTGGCAGGAGCCTGCAAAGCCCATAGGGAAGCCTCGGCTTTGCTCATCTCAATAAAAGGATACTGATTAAAAAGAACGTATGTTAACTTGACTGGGAGATGCTCTTCCGGTGGTCTTCCCTATGCGGTCCCAGACTGGAAAACCAGTCTGCCTCCAAACTTCCATCTCCGCTCTGAAGAAGCCTCCTGGACCGCTATTTATAGCTCTGGAAATCTTGTGATCTTTTCAAACAAAAAGGAGCTGTGTGGGCACAGGAGAGAGTGTGCATCTGTGTGTGCTTTCCCAAATTGGCAAAAGAAACAGAGCTGTTGCTTCATCATGAAAGCCTCACTGTTTGCCGTGATATACATTAAAACGCCAGCACTTCTGAAAGAGGAGCAAATCCTGTGACCTTATTTTGAAGTGCCAACACACTCCAGTGTTTGCATCTTAAAATATTTATTTCTCTTCATAAAATATCTATGCACGGATCTCAGCCCTTCGGCAGTAAATATTCTCCCCCCTCGTTCGCATCAGGAGAAGCCCTCAGGAAACCTGAGACGGCAATCAGAAAAACCAGCTTATTTGTTAAAACATAAACATGATTTTAAAAAAACAAAAACAGAGAGTTTCTATTAAATACATTACTATTTTATTACCAGTTGCTATTGTTGGAATTTGAAACCTGTTGACTGTCTTTACAGGCAAACCGTACAGTCAATCGAGAGGAGAGGATACTGATATTTTATTCTATTAGTCGTATATGTTTTACAATGCCCGTAATCTCTTACCTCCTTAATGGGCTGGCTAGAGAGACTTTTAAGTCGGCAAATTGTAAACACCTGGACAGCCAAAGTTCGCCCATTTCTGATCTTAGAGCCAGCGTGGAATAGTAGCACTCTTGATTGCTGAAACTGATAACCTTGGGGCTAGACAACTACAACACACTCTATATAGGGCAGTGCTTAAGGCTAGCCCACAAGCTGCAGCTGTCACAGATTGCTTTTGCTCCACCTCCAAAAAAAATCCAAGCCAGAAGTGGCTAATTTCTTTTCTTTTCTCACATTTCCAAGAAAAGCAGGGAGCATCGCCAAACCGGCTTCATACAATGTAAATTAATTGAAGCCATTGGCTCTCTACCTGCATAAAATCACTAATTTAACAAGTCAAGCTTTTGCTTTGATGGCTTGAATGCAAAGACGTCTATCAAAATGACTAAAATGGTCATGTCATTTAATCAATACCGAGAAGAGGGAAGTATTCAAATGACACGCCGCGTCAGGGCCGGCAGAAACACCTGGGGAAGAATCCAAGAGAATCTCAAGCGTCAGGAAGCCAGATTCAAGCTGAATATCGGAGGAGGGAATTCTCAACTGTTAGAGCAGTACGACAATGGAATCAATGACCTCGGGAGAGGGTGAGCACTCCTGCACTGGAGGCATTCAAGAGAAAATTGGACAGCCATCTATCAGATCTGGATTGTCCACTGAGCCTCTAGACTTGATTGTACACTGTTCTGTCTTCTGACTTCCAGAAACCTTGGCTGGCACAATTTTAAGAGAGGAAGGACGTATTGCCACATGCACCTGCAGCTCTAGTAGGATTATTACATCCCCTGGGTTTGCTGGCATCTGTATAATAGCCAACGTATTAAAACTTTGCAACTTGGAGAAGCCAAAGAGTGACATTTAAGGTAATCCATTTATCACCATCCAGCATATGCTTTAGGAATGCAAAATGTCAGTGGCAAAGCTGTAGCTCTTCAAGGTGCCAGGTAGCTATTGTCGTCAAATACAATCTTGCAACATAATATTGGCAGAGATGCCAGGTCTACCCGATTGGCACGTTTTATTCCTTGGCCCAATGGAGCATTTTTGTTATGCAATTTGGGAATAGGTTCATCAAGGAGAAGCTGCTTTAATCGTGTGAACCGCCCCCTAGCTAACAGAGCGCAATGACTGTGAAGCTCAGGAGGAACCTTTTGGCGTCTCCTTGCCTGAGGCCATTGCTTCACTCTGCTTAACAGTAGGGCCAGTCCTGAGATGGAGTTTAGAAGCTTGTAAAACCCCATCCATGTAGTACTCTTTCCAGGTATTCTAGATTTGTTGAGCGCCTTTGGATTTTGTGCCTGCGCTATTTGTGTACGTTGGATAACTCAGTGACTTAGGTGTCTGCCTGCAGGGCCACGGACCAGGAGTTTGATTCCCCATTGGGGCTCTTGGGGGAGGGACCAGCCTACATAGCCCTGGGCACGTTGAGTAGTCTCCGAGAACCCACAGAAGAAGGGAGTGCTAAACCACTACCTAGAAAACACTGGAAAGGTTTGCCATGAGTCAGAATTGACTTGGCAATATGTAAAACAACAACAGCAACAACTATCTTTAGTTAGAAAAAAGTGGACCTGAAATCATGGGGAGAGGGAGAAAGGTTAGGTGTTGGTCTTCACATGTGGTGAGTGACTTTTTGAGGGGGGGAAAGGGCTACATGTGGAACCTCTCCATGTGCTTGGAACCCTTGCACCCAGGGTCTCCAATTGCATGAAGAAGTTACATTTGTGGACAATTCTTTCCTCTTTTGGCTACCACAGATCATCCTTGTCACCCTTCTTCGTGATGAACTCTCTTTCTGAACACTCGAAGAGGAATAGAGAATGTGCCAAATCAGGGGATTTCTTGTCGGGTTGAACCTTTATTCTGAGCTATGACCTGGTTTTTATTTCCTGAGTGTGTAAGAGACTTCCTAATAATAGTTCCAGATTATGATCCAGTTCAGAAAAGCAACTGTGATTTCTTAGTAAGAAAGAATGCAGATGAATGGAATAGAGGACCACTGCCTGCCTTGCTCAGAACTTGAGATAATTTTTTTAAAGGGAATAGATACCAGAATTACCCAGCACCAAGTGGCTGGAGAATTATAGGAACTGTTGTTGAAAATGTAATATTCCTAAACTCTTACTTTCCAAACCACTCACACCAGAAACAGCAAATGCTCCTCAGAGACCAATAAAGAAACAAACAAAGCAACAATAATAGCAAAATTATAGGTCCATTTATGTCCAGTAATATAAAATGCTTATGGGCATGAAGTGTGGATTGGGAATCTGTGATGTTCCGGATATGTTAGACTACAAGTCCCATCAGCCACAGCCACTACAACCAAAGGTGTAGGACCATGGGGACTGCAGTGTGAGGACATAAGGAGGACCACACAACTGACATCGCTAGCATGGAAAGAGACTGTCATTCATCGTGATGAGACAACCAATTCGTACTTATTCAATTTGTTCATTTATTAAATTCGTATTAAATTCATATTATCCAGAAATGCAACAGATTGCAATAAAATCATTAAAAGGGGGAGCATAATATACAGCAGAACAGCAGCAGCAACAACAACGTAAAAAGTCTTGCAGGAAAATCCCATGACAAAAAACACGATCGTCCACAACAAAAGAAGTTACAATAAATTGGGCCATATTTTGCATTCGAGAACCAGCAAATGCGATTCATGGAAAATCTCTAGACTTTCTAGAATTTCCCTTTCTCCTGTCTTTCCCATACCTCTAGGACCAAGAACGCTTTCTCTAAGGCATTCTCTAAACCAATATTTCAAAAGATGCTTGTTCTATCCAACAGTTTGTGCAAACAGTTTGATCTCGCGAAACGCATTCTGCTGTTCCCCGAAATGGCAGATGCCAGCTCAGCATCCTACATGGTTCATCCTATGCATGATGGCAAAAGGAGGGAAGAAACAGCTTAAGAAATCAGCTCATCTTCTCCCAAAGCGTTGGGTTCCTCTTCGACTGAATCCATAAAATATGTCCCTAGGTTATACAGAGATATGCCAATTTCTTGTGTAGATTTTACATTATATGAAACACCACTATTGATATTCATTTCCCTCTAATTCCTGTAAATGACCCTCTCCAGTCGGTAAACAAGCAAACAAGCAACCACCACAATATTTGAAATGGTGCAGAATTTGGTCTGCATTATCCAAAATGAAGGGACGTGGAGGCGCTGCGGGCTAAACCACAGAAGCCTGTGCTGCAGGGTCAGAAGACCAAGCAGTCGTAAGATCAAATCCACACGACGGAGTGAGCGCCCTTCGCTTGTCCCAGCTCCCACCAACCTAGCGGTTCGAAAGCATGTAAATGCGACTAGATAAATAGGTACCACCTCGGTGGGAAGGTAACAGCGTTCCGTGTCTAAGTCGCACTGGCCATGTGACCACGGAAGATAGTCTTCGGACAAATGCTGGCTCTATGGCTTGGAAACGGGGATGAGCACCGCCCCCTAGAGTCGAATACTACTGGACAAAAATTGTCAAGGGGAACCTTTACCTTTACCTTTATCCAAAATGGACAAAAGGTTACAGACGTTTGTCCTGAAAAGTCATCTTGAAAAACACATCCCAGCGAACAGATATGACTTAAGGTTGGTGTACTGAAGAGAACACAGCACCCTCAGTGTCACAAACTGCTTCATACAAAGCAGAAGTGGGGACATATGCGACCTTCTATATGTGGTTGGACTCCAACTCCCACTGTCTTGGGAGTTTGACAAGTGTAACCCAATGGCATCCACCAGAGCCAAAAGTTCCCCATCTTGATACAGAGAGGTCCCATTCAACCATTCTCCGTTCAGCACTTGACCACTCTACACACAGAGGGCCTCTTTTATCTGTGGACATGCTCTGCATGATCAAGAACACAAACTTCACAGCTTTTCTGACCACATGGAGGTTTCCCATGAATATCTGGGTCTCTTTCTATTCAAATAGTTCCCCTCGACATCTAGAGGGTGACCCAGAAATTGTAGCCAAGTAGGCAAGTCAACAGCATTCTTCTTCTTCATGTCTTATATCTCCAAGTAATGGAATAGGGCTTTAGCCATTCAGTTTCCTGCCTGAATCTTGATAAAAAAATAATAAATCGATTACATATTATAATCGTTAATCAATACCTCTCACCTTTACTTGCACCTTCAGGGCATCTTCAGTTGCAAACTGATCTGGACAGCCAGCTAAAACAGTATTTTGTGTTAAGGAACAGTGGCCAAACTAGCAAATCAGAAACAAGATTTCCTTGGTTTGAAAAACGTACTTTGTATACAGTATTTGCCACAGCTAATTGTGGCTAATTGTTAAGGGGCTCACACATATCTCAGTTGTGCAATAGGGTGCATGAGCAGGAACATAACTGTGACATGCCCCAGCACTATGTAAGTCAGCTAAAATGAACCACCACAAGTTGTATAAACATTGCACAATAACCAACAGGATTCTGGCCAATCATCCTCAAAGAGGACTTCATATTTAACAAATATTTCCTTCCCCCATCTCCAGATGAGTTTAAAATTTCTGTACTGTTTTCTCCTGCATCCAGCGCAAACCCTAAATAATTAAATTTTACAACCCATCCTTAAATTTATACACACACACATACACACACACAGAGAGAGAGAGAGTACAGAGGCGCATACACAACCATCAAAAAGTGATTTACCCCCTTTTTCTAAATTAATCCAATTATTCAAATGCCAGTTAAAACTGTCAGAAATTGGTTCCTTGGGCCGGACCAAAACTGTTAAAAATTAAAACTGTTTTACTTCGTTTAGTCTCTCTGCCTTTTTAATGTAAAACCCATAGCCCGGACAAAAAGATGTGGGATTTGACACCCAGTGCTACACAACCCGGCTTCTGTCATACATGCATAATTCACTTTGGAAAGGCACACTTGCTTTTAAAATATTACTAAAATATACATGTAACATATGCTAATCTGGCCTCATTGGCCCGCCAGCACGAGCCGATAGGTTAGATGTAAACTCGGCCAAGTGCAGGCACCATACATAAAGGGATTATAAATGAAAGGGAAAGAGAGCCGCTTGTCCCCGGCTTGCTGTCTTCAGCGCTGGCCAAACTGACAGCCCCAAATCCCTGCAACATCTAACATGCCCTTCCTGTGGTGAAGACAGCCTGTTCTCCGAGTCTTAATTACATCCCAGCTGACTGCCTGGCCTTGCCAGAACGGAGCAACGAACGAGGTACCTTCGCTGGCAATATGGTCGACTAAACAGACTCCCGGTCGCAGAGAAAGGAAACGTTCCACAACAAGGAGAAAGGAAGGGACACCTCAGAGAAGAGTGACGGAGAAGGCACGGAGGGGGGCTGCTCTCGAGGGGAAAGAGAAATGGGGTAAAGAAGCAGCAGCCTCGCTCCCAGAATCCTTCAGGACAGGCGAGCGCCAGAACGCCAGCAAAGCAGGCAATCCCTCGCTCATGCGCTACGCCGGCTCTCTCTCGCCAAAGTACCGCTGTTCTCCAAGATGGGCCGCTGTGACGGAGACTCGGTAGATTAATGATTGTTAAGGAAGGCTAACCAACCCCACGCCGCTTAGGCCATTATAATTACAGAAGAACAGCAGGCCGCGTTCTGCAATGGCAAATGGTATCATATGCTTTCCTGGCTCGTTTGCAAAAGAAGCTTCCTTTGGTCAAGCACTTCAAGGTTTCCTCTTTAAAACAAACAAATAAATAAAACCCGCCCAGGATCCCCCCCAAAAGCCCCAGTGATAACAAAAAAAAGGGGGCAACTTTCAAAAGAGCTCTACGATGAAAGGTTTAATACGAGTGTTCTGTTCTCTCCAAAGGCACTTTCAGGCAGAGATTTAGAATCCCATTTTATTTACTTAATCGCCCGGTAGTCTGGGATGCTTTGGATCATTTAACCACAGTGACAGCTGTGCTCCTTAATGTACATAAAATGTAGAAGAGGTGTTCAAATGGAGAAAAGAATATAATCTAGCAAGCTTTTATAGGGGAAACACAGCAAGCAATGTGGTCATTTCTTACAACGTCAGGACATTTGACCGAAGCAAAGCGTCTTCCATAATAGCAGCCGCCGAAACATTTCAGAAAGATGTGGAGATGGTCAGATTAATCATTGTTAATTCACTGAACTGCTGGGAGTGGCAGAAGGATACAAACTGAGTGATGTCAGGAGAGAGGCAGGGGAAAAAATAGTTAAAAAGGAAGACTTTTCGGAATATTTCAGGGTTTGCAGTGGATTCATTTTACATCTTGTGATAAAAGAAAAAAGATATACTGTCAAAGCAAAATGGTGTAGGTTGACCAGCATAAATTATAAACAGCTAAAAACATAAGTGATTAAGTATGAGTAGCCTTGTGGCACAGTGATTAAACTGTGCTACCGTAGCCAAAACTCTGCTTGGGACCTGGGTTCAATTCCACTCAAGGTCAGATCTGCTCAAAGCAAAATAGGGACCATTGCTCCCTTTGCTGTTGTTGATGCCTCCTCGCTTCAACCTATCTACACACTACAGCTGAACTTCTAGATCCATTTTACGTCTTCCATATTTTAGCATATGGTTTTTCCAGCCTGAGCACAGAAGTTTACATTTCTCCTGGCTGGAATCCATTTTGATTATTTACTTAATTCCCCGTTATGATATGTTCATCTGGAATCCTGATTCTATCTCATGAAGCATTTCATGTTGTGTATATATTGGATAAGGATCCCATCTAATCCTTGATTCAGTTGTTTATAAAAGCACTGCTCATCGCTGGTCTTGAGACAAAATCCCAAGAAACCCTATTTGCTACTTTTCAGAACTGCAAGGAGACATCTTTGGGGTACAGTCCATCGTCCAGCTACAAATCCACTTCGTATTTCCTCTTAAATTATATTCTTTTCTTCATTTAAACACATCTTATTTCCTTCAAAAAAAATTTGCAAGCCAACTTCTATTGACGTTTTTGGTACAAACCTTGGTCCTTATAGGAAAGAATCATAAGAAAACAAGAAAGGTTACTGCTTCTCCAAGAACGTTCTTAGCTCAAACAGGAAGTCTTTTCCAGCACTTCCTGTCCAGAAGGGCCAACTGGAGGAGCAAGGAAGGTGTTCAAGTTGCGAGATGTTACTATCCGTTTCGTTTTTATGGATCAACACATTTACCGTTATTTCTATCTGTTGTTGTTGAACAACAACAGTACTCATGATAGCAATAATAATTCTTGTTATTCAGTGGACAACAAATAACCGCTAATGGACATCTGGCTTTACTTGAGCATTTGAAGAGCCTTGAAGAATGACTGTTAAGAAGGATATAAAATTGGGATCATTTCATTGCCTCTGATAACAACAGATTCAGGGAACGGAGGGGATTTAAGACATCAATTGTTTCACTGTATGCGTTCTTTTGAGAACTCCAGGTTTCTTGGACTTTGGGACGGAAGAATCAAACACAGGAAGTGAACTCTGCATTTAGTTCGAACGTATTGTTGTTGGAGCCAACACACAGGAAAATGAACTATTTCCCCTGTGGATTTTGGCAGGATATTGTTCCTCAGTAGATTGGCAAGGAAGCGTTTCCTCCTGGGCTGGCCATCAGATGTGGCACCCTCAGTGGAGTAGCTGCTTAGCTTTCATGTGCCTAATAAGGAAGTGAGGAACTGCAAGGAAGGAACGAAAATACAAGTGGACATGAAATCATGCCTGTGGATTTATTCAAGGAGGGTGCCCTGCAGACCTCGGAATTTTATGCTGGGCTTCGAGGGTTACTGTCCACAGATAAAGCAAGAGGCAAGCACTGCTAGATGGGTGGCAGATTGATTGCACATGACCGAATGTCTCTCCGTACCAGTTTGCAAACTGTGATACTTGATTTGGGTCCGATAACCAGCATTGCATTTAGAACAGCCTTTTAAAATCCCAGAACGTTGTCATCACTGGTAAAAATCAACTGGCAGAAAGCTCAAGATAAAGGAAGGAAAGTGTTTTTCCCCAACAGCGCTTTGCTAAGGGATGGAATTTAGGACTTCTGGATGTCGGGGTGGAATCAAGAAGACTCTGAGGCTAGGACAGGTTGCCTAGAGTGCTGTAAACAACTGATCCATGTGGTGTGGGCCACCAACACAGCGATCTGTTCAAGGATTAGACTATTGAGTAGCCTCCAGATGCTGTGCGCTATAAGGCCAAGCTACAGTCAATATGGACAATGGTGAAGATTATCCCCGGAAGGTTCAAGATGGCTACTGCAGGGCTTCTAGATCTTGTGATGACAGCCATCTCAAGCTAATCATTGGCTCTTTCTCATCAGATCAGCTGCTGAAAGCTAACTGTTGAGGTTGGGATATTGTCTATACAACACCTGTTCTTCTTGGATCTTGATGTCTTCTTCTCTGCCCCAGACTTACCTTCCTGGCTCTTTTGATGAACTCTTGGACCTAACCTAACAGCTTGCCTACAGACCAGCCCAAAACACTGGAAACAGAATTGGCTTTAGCAAAGTATCGGGGGGGCCAAGGAATAAGAATGTGTCGTTTGGATTTCTTTCTAAAAAACATATTGTTATAATTCTTCATTCTGGAATTCTCTGTTCTAGACACCTAAATGTGGCTCACCTGGGAGCAAGGCCTGAGTTGGAAGGCTTTTCGGCCTAGCTTGGCCTAGCTTCCTCTGGCTTCCTGTCCGGAAAGGAAGTTCCCAGCTAGCACTGGGGCAACAAGGCCTGAGTTGGAAGGCTTTTTGGCCTAGCTTGGCCTAGCTTCCTGTCCAGAAAGGAAGTTCCCAGCTAGCACTGGGGCAGCTTTCCTTCCTGAGCAGGAAACGCAGGTGGAGCTAAGCCACAAAGCTTTCCCTCCTAAGGCTTTTCTCCTAGGTGAGCCACATTTGGGAATCTGGAGGTGTCTGACTCTCAGGTGGCTCTCCCAGAATGGAGAATTATGGGATTTGGGAGCTTAAAAAATTCCAACTACAAGGAAACTCTGTTCTTTTCACACTGGTTGAGTTCAAGAGAGTGCACCGTTTTCACTTCCCTTCTATTAGCACAGTGGCAGAGCATCTACTTTGCATTCTGAAGAAAGAAATCCTACCTGGCCCCAGGCAGGAG